ATAGATAAATAATCAAAATTGTAATGTGTATGTATTAAGAATAGATAGGAATCCAGAAGAAACTTAGTGCAGTCTAAATTTAATATGAAGACTTGATTTGTTCGAAAGAAGATATATCAATAATTACAGCAAATGTAGGAGAAAAATTAAAAAACAATTCACTTACATCTTCGCGCTCTTTCTGTTCATAGTACAAGAAATCGTCAAAAATTGAAGTCGCGTGATCATATTTGGCGAAAATGTCCATAACTTGTCTGCCTTTGTCAAGAGGAATCTCTGTTGTATCCCGCGAGTGAGTTACCGGCTTGTTTTCATTTGTCTCGATCCGTATATGTCGAAGAGAGGTGTTAGGCACATCCTTAACAAAGATCCACTTCACAGTGAACTTTCCCTGCCACTTGTCCTGAGCCCAGACACCCGCCCTGGCAGTGTAGTCGACACGTGAGGTCATCTCGGCCATGCCACAGAAGTGTCCAGATCCATTAACGGAGAAGAAAAGGTAAATCGGCGCCTGGTTGGCTATCTCGACAAAGGCGGAGTCTAGCTTTTTGTTGCCCAACTCTGTAGAGCACCAGATAGCATACTTGATTGAGCGGTGAATGTCATCCTCAGAGAAGGACTTTATAACGAAGAAGCGCGCCCGAGCCGGCTGCGTATCAAAGCTGCTCGGATTAATCTGTTTAGAGAGACGTTGATGCAGTGCTTCTGATTCGCGCTGCATGGCAGCCATTTGTGCCTCGTGGGCAGCATCGTTACTTGCCGTAGTGCGATTGTTGGCACTGCCACCGGCAGAAGTAGCGTTAGGGCCGCCTCCCGTGTTTGCACTGGAGCCAGAATTGGACTTGCCAGAGATCCAAGTCCCTTTGAAAGAAGATTTACAGCTACCACCACTGGCTACATTGCCTCCGCCAGCTGAACCAAGGTTAGGGTTTACTCGACCAGCAGAGTCTCCTGTGGCTGGTATAGTCGGCCCATCCAAGACGGCACCATTAGCGACAAGAGATCCAGTCTTGCTTGGCTGAGCAGAAGACGACTGGAGGGGCGAAGATGGATTGGTAGTCGATTGGGAAGACGAACGAGGCTGCAAGCAGGCATGTTGAGTATGCGGCTGTTGTTGCTGGGCCTGCTCATTCTTGGAGGAGACGCTGATGACATAGCCACTACTAGATGATGAGCCGACCCCTTCAGGAAAGCCAGAGCTTGACAGGGACGAAGGTCCCGGCAATCGAGGTCCCGAGGAGGGCAAGAATACAGGTCCAGGTACCCGGTGGCTCGGTTTTCCCGAGGCTGACCAGCCAGATGCAGCGCCACCTGCTCCGCCGCCAAGTGAGGAGGCCGAGAGAGAGGCGCCCGAAGAGGTCAAAAGAGAACCCCCTGAGGCGCCAGACCCAGCAGTGCCGGAATGGTGAGATAGAAAGGAGGGTGCCAAACGATGGTGCTCCTTAGCAGCTTGGCCAGCAATGTTGGCCCAAGTCTTTGTGAAGCCACTGGATGAGTTACTGTTAGCGGCAGCAACGGAAGCAGCGATGCTAGTAGAGCTGGCGGTGGATGCAACAGCTTCACTGGATACGACGGACTTTGCTCCAGCGACTTGGGTGTGTGTTGGACCACAGCTGCGAGAGTTGGCACCGTTTAAGCAATACTCGGATTCCCCCTGTATTGACAAGAATGAATAAGTTAATAAAATGATGCAAACAGCAGGTATCATAAGAACTAGCGGTTAGAAATTGGCTGTTACTTGATGGTCGCACATAGAATGGATCGTTCGCTCTAAATGCAAATACTAAATCAATGATTGGGATGCTTGTTTGAGCTATATTATTAAAATAATGAAGTGGATCGTCGGAGGCATCGTCAAATATCGTAAATTTTACAAACGCGTCGTAGAAACCCAGTTTAAGCCTTGCTTGGCTCTCATCACCTCTTTACATATCCATAAATAAGGTAACATCAAGGAGATTCGGTATAATTAGGGAACAGAGCAAACTACTTTCACATGTAGATAAATAATGATAAAATAAGGTGGCATTTTCCGGGTTGAATAAAGTTCGCATATATTCCGAAATATAGCGAACCATTCACGTCGTTAAATTCATTGGTGAATATGAGGTTGCCTCATTTATACAGCTATATTAAGAAATAAGATTTGAGGGGCAGGCTGAACTCGTAAATGTACATCTACCGTATGACTCTATGGCGTCTGATGTGCGGCAGAATGGGAAATTATTCTCATGACTGACAAGGACTGATTTCGAAATTTATCTGGGGTAATGATGAAGCTGCATTCCAGACTGAATAATAGTTTTCTTAGGAAACGAGACTGATCGGAATTCCATGTCAAAATGAAGCTTCATCCGAATTAGCCTGAGCATACGGTCGTAAAGCTTCAAAGCGACTTACATTGAAAACCGTTACATAAAAACCAGTATTAGTTAAATGCGAGCTATGTACTACAAACTCAGATTCTGTAGAACAGTGGAGTATTAGCAGAAAAATTGTAATAATTTAATAAGAATCTATGATAAAAAGATATGAACAAAAATATGCGAGTAGTCTCCACCAAGATACTTGCTATTGAAATTTAAGTTATATAAAGTGGAATATAGGTGAAGCGAAAGGAAAAACAAATAAGTCTAAAAATAGATTTCAGCTTTTGAATAAATATGTAAAGCACAAAGTTGATATAACGATAATTGAGTGTAAAGTACTTGATATATTAAATGAAAATCTGGTGAGGCTTGGACACAATCTAATGGCCAGAATGATAACGAATACTTTAAAAAATTCAAAGTACTGTTAGATCAAGCCCTTCTCAAATTAATATAAAGAAGAAAATAGGCAGGCATTTGTACAAACGTTTTTAAACAGTCGAATCCATTCTTACAATATCATTTTATAGAGGAGCATAAGCTAACTTAATAAATGAATACCGAGTCTCGATTAACATTGTAATCAGTTTTTCAGAAAAATGAAATGGAAATAATAAAGAGCAAGAAGAATCAAAATAAGATTTCTAATAATATACATGAAGACCAAGATGTTGTAGCCTCTGTTTGGGTCGCAGTTTCCTTTCGATTCATAGAAGTGGTTTGATCTTGTTT